GAGGCCATCGCTCTTAGGTTAGAGGCCATCGCTCTTAGGTTAGAGGCCATTGCTCTCAGGTTCAAGGCCATCGCTCTTGGGTGACTTCTAAACCCAGTTTATCTTGGCCTGGATCTCAACTCCCCGTCTCCGCCATCTCCGCCTCTACGATCTCACGGATCTCTGCTGCCCCAGGCGGCAATCCTGCTGTCGACTTGTCCCTAGTACCACAATCCCTTGAGCAGCTGAGTCTCCTAGCTTTGCGCTTCACTTAAATTTGTGTTTTCTTCAATCTTTCATTCAGAGCTTACTATGGGAGCCTTGTTCACCTTTGCCGAACTTCCCCTTCACTCGCATCTGGCTGTACTCCCGCGTTGCCGTCATCAAGCGCGCCAGCTCCCCTTCAGAAAGTTCAGCCTTCCCCAGAAGGGCCTCCAATGCAAATTCTAGGTTGGAGGCCATTGCAATTAGTAACTCAAAAGGTCTTTTTTGTCGTTGGCCAATGCAAATGATGCAGCTGCACATGGACTGCACATCGCAATTCAGTCAACACTTGATACATAGCTCTGCATCTTAACCAAAGCCAAGCTTCAGTCGACACCGCAGAGTATGTAGCTACCCGAACTTGATCTTCCGGAAAGGACTCACAAACAAGGTAGAAAGCACGACACGGGAAACATTGATTGGAGCAAGAAGCCACTAGTAGCAACTGGAATCACTACTAGTAACAAGGGCATCGCCATTAGTAACAGTTACATCGCTACTAGTAACAAGAAGCATCAGCCAAAAGCAGCTAGCCAATTGGCTCCTGAAGAGTGCTCTCATCCAGGGTCGGCCAAACCTTGATGAATCAGAGGCGTAAGAGTTGAAGTCAACGAGTCAACGACAAAAGAAACAATCTTCTTTTGAGTTACAAACAGCAATGGCCTCCAGCCTACTAGCGATAGCCTCCAACCTAATAGTTTAATAGAAAATTACAAATCCAAAAGTTGTCAACTACGGAGTGTCAACGGCTCTTTATGCCGAAAGGCGTGCTCTGCCAACGCTGACTTCGCAGCTTGCTGGATCTTGACGACATCCAAGTTTTTTTCCAGCCATTCTTTCTGCTTCTCTCGGAGAGGCTTAGCATCCTGCGAAGATTTCTGGATATTTCAGAGGTTCACATGACGATTGTCTCAGCAGCCCCAGAACCCAAAAACGTGTTCCTCTTCCTCCCACGGAATAGTGCTCTTGCTGGTGGATGTTCATGGGGAGATGTTCATGAACACTACGGTGTTGCACCAAAAGTGTGTTTAGACTGTGTGGCCTTGGATTGCCTCCAGGTGGATGAATACTGCAACGAATGGCGGGAAAAAAAACCGAGACCCATCTGAGCCTTCCAACCGGACCCAGTTTGGTTTCGCATGGATTGCTTCGGAGTGGGAAGTTCGGACACGTGGCTTGTTTCTAATATATAGCTTCTTGTTACTACCAGTAAGGGACCTGTTACTAGTAGCGATGCACTTGTTTCTAATAGCTTCTTGTTTCTAATAGCTTCTTGTTACTACTAGTAAGGGACCTGTTACTAGTAGCGATGCACTTGTT